GCACTGAGCTCATGGAGCTCTCATAGTTGGATCATCACACCATGCTACACTGTTGGAGTCTGCCTCCATTGGATGAGTAAATGTATTTGATCAGTGAGGTGACTTTATCCCAGAAACAGAAACACGAGGACACTGAGAGATTTCTGCCCCTTCATCTTTGAGTCCGCCCTAAAACACTGAAGCCCTTTGAGTGTGTTTGAGATATTTGATCAACTCATGTGTTTTTCAGGGTGAATGTGTCGCGTGTTCAAAGCTAATAATGACCCAATGCTCTTCTGGAGTTTTTACAGTAAGACTGAACTCACTGTGAAGCATCTGGATATTTATTCACTTCCCTTTCTTACTTTGAGCTGCTTTAAAATATGATTATGCTGTCTTTATCCAGGGCTCTTCCACATTTGGATGTTCTTATATTTTCACCAAGGGCAACCCATCCGTTAAAGTCCCAGTGAAAGGCTGCTCTGCACACTGCAACTCAACGGTCACGGTACACACTTTAGTAAAACCGGGCAGTTTACTTCATGTTGGAACAGAAAGACACTGAAGCCTAGAAGATGTAACTTTGTAGAGGCCGTCAGAATAACCTTGTGTATATCCGTTCAGATTCCAGCGTGCTGTAAAGGTTTCTACGGTCCAGACTGCAGACCGTGTCCAGGTGGATACCAGAAGCCCTGCTCCGGACACGGGCAGGTCAGACATTCCCATAATTCCTTAATTACTTTATTTGGAAGAAGCTTTACTGCTTTCTGTTCTTTGAACAGACTTTTTCCTGTTTGCAGTCCAGCAGGAAGGAAACTGAAATGTTTCAGTGTTTGCAGGGAAAGCGAGGTGTTTGGTTTATGGAGGAGGAACCTAAAGTGTATTTTGTGTTTTTCAGTGTTCGGAGGGGGTTTCAAGAAATGGAACGTGCAGCTGTGAACCGAACTTCAGCGGCTCACGCTGTCAGTACTGCTCCTCCTCCAACAAATATGGACCAAACTGTGACAGAAGTAAGTCTGACTCATACTTTGTGACATCACACAGGCAGACATGATGTAAAGATTATGTACTTGTCTATCCTCAGCCTGCCCCTGTATCCACGGGCAGTGTGATAACCGTCCGGATTCAGACGGTCGGTGTAAAGTGGACTCGTGTCAGCAGGGTTACACCGGTCCTTTGTGTGATCGACAGACGGCCGCCTGCGGTGCTCAGGCTCAGTTTTGCCACGCACATGCTGACTGTGACTTCAGCCAGGGAACAGTCAAGTGAGTTTACCTGGAGTCTTTAACCCTGAGTCAGACGTCTGTAGTGAACAGTTATCTCGTTGTACCACACATTATTCTGTACTGTGTCTTATTTTAGGTGTATTTGTAAAACTGGTTTCCAAGGTGATGGCATCACCTGTGTGGCGTCTGACCCGTGTGCTCCACCCCACCGAGGTGGCTGCAGCCTGAACGTAAGCCTCCAGTTTTTATA